TTTTTTTTTTTTTTTACCACCAGGCCCTCCGTGATAGGGGCCTATCCTAGACGTCTCATCTCACCCGGCGGAAGCTGACTCCCCACTACGGGATCGCCCCAAACCGATGGGCCCCACTGCCGGGGGGGGCAGGGGGCAGACAGTGGCTGTGCCCCGGGGAGCACTGTTCGCGTCCCCGTGCGTCCTCCTCGGTGCTCACGTCCTGGGCGGGCAATGGCACCTGTCTCTGGTGCGTTAGGAACTAGAACCCGTGAGAACAGGGAAGGCGTTTGTCCCACAGTTGGAGTTCTTGGGGCCTGGGCAAATGCTGTCACTTGAAGGTTCTAGGTTGAAATTGCTTAGCCTGGATTTTTAAAAAACTAAGTAAATAAAAAGGCCATCCAGTTCTCAGCAGGGGAGCGAACTGCCGTTCTGAGAAGTGTGTGGTGGCCCCAGGAAGGCCCACCTGCGCCCTAGCCGGCTGTCCTGCTGCTGGCCACAAGCCTTCCGAGCTGGCCCGGGGGTGTCAGCCACATTCCCACCAGAGCAGAGGCATCTACAAAACATGATTAGGGAAGTCATAATGGAATGTTCTTAGAAAAGAAAAAGTAGTTCCTGTGAGGACAGACGTTAAAAAAATTTTAAAAACCCAAAACCCACCCCAGCCTTGCCCAAGAGTTGTGCAATTCATAATAGCAGTGGCCTGTTTGAATAATCAAAGGCAAGCGACTTCCCCTTGCTACTTCTGTCAGGGACATCTGCATAAAATATCCCCGGATTCCAGACCGAGAACATCACTTCGTTCCCCTCCGAGTGACTAGGGGGCTTTCCCTTGGGAGCTGTTCCCGCGGCATTGACTTCAGGGCTGAGACGTTTTCTCAGTAGATGCTGCCAGCAGCCGCAGTCCTGCCGTAGGAGCATGAAAGCACACCTTGCACAAGCTCCGAGCCCCGCTCGACAGCCTGAGTCAGCGCTGGCTTTGGCGCCTCTGCCCTGACGCTCCTCGTTCACAGGGACGTCTGTGCCCACTTACATCTCCCGAGGTCTTCTGAGTTCCTTTTTGAAAGTGTCAGAGGGCCTCTTGATGTTGCTACCCGTTTCCCACGTCTGGGTTTTACACTTTGCATCAAAATGTCCGAGGCTCTGAAGGGGACAGTCCTGTAAACCATCTGACCACTCGTTTCTCTTTGAATTCAGGACTTAAAAAAAAATTATACTGCTATTGGAGGAGGATGCGTTTCCACAGCAGCCGCCACACGGTTTCGTGTTTGTGTTTTATTAGCCTCCTTGCAACGCCAGCCCACTGACTGCCGAGCCCGGAGCCTGTATCACCGGGTCAGGGGAGGGAGCCAGGTGCCGGGTCGATCGTCCTTCCTGCTCCCTGATGATAACGCTTTTGTCAGCGAGGCCAGGGGAGTTAGCAGTTCTCCGGATGGATTAGGCTCTCTGGCCAGCCCGAGCCCATCACGGGGACCCGCGCACCAACCGGTGAGCCTCCGAGAGCGGAGGAGGCCACGTCAGCCGCCTCTGGCTGGCCTTGGGCCGCGGCCCTGCCCAGTCTGGCAGGACCAAGCGTTCACAGATGGGAACCTCTGGTGCTTGAGGTACATACTCCGCAGCCGCCATGGATGCAGAGCTCGGCTTGACTTCAGTGTTCTGGGAATCCTTCGGGGCCGTTGCGCATTCACTCATATGGCACACATTTGTGGAGCCCATTCTGGGTGCCAGGCGCCCCGTGACGGCCGTGGTACAGTCGGGGGTGAGACCGTGCGTGTCCCGGCTCTCAGAGCTTGTAGTCTGTCGGTGGAGATGGATCCTAAACCAGTTAACAGATGAATAACAAACTGGGACACACGTGAGGCGGGTGTGGAGCGTCGCGAAGAAGCCACTCGGGGTAGTCAGGGAAGGCTTCTCTGGGGAGGTGGCGTTTCAGCTAAGACCCAACAGATGAGAAGGGAACCAGCTGTGCACAGAGCGTTCAGACGGAAGGGCTGGCACGGGCCTAGCAGGCTGCAGGAGCTGGGGGAGGCCAGCGTGGTCAGGGCGTCGCCGCCGGGGGTGGGGACGGAAGGGCTGCTGGGCCCGGGTCGGACGCTTGTCGCCAGGGGCGAGGCCGGGTTAGGTGAGCTCCACAGCCCCTGCCCACGCCGAGTCAGTGCTGCTCTGGGGCTGTAGCCTGCTTGTGGGCCCTGAGCAGCAGTTGCTGCGTCGCCAGCCCGCCCTCCGTGCGCTCGGCCATCTGCACGTCTCACTGGCAGGTCCCGGGGGAGTTCTCTGCAGCCAGGCGGAAGCCACCTGGTGGGCCAGAACCCAGGGCAATGGGCCTGTGGGGCTGGGGAACAGCGAGACGCGGAGCGCGCGTCCTTCGGGGCCCAGAAGGTCTGTGACCTGAGCGTTAGTCAGATGCGGCAGGGGACCGAGGGAGGGAAGGCACTCGTTCTGCTGGACAACGTGCTGTCTGCCAGCCTGTGACCTTGACCCCGGCAGCCACGGCGCGTTTTTCTTCGGCTTTTATGGTTGAGTGCGTTTGGGACAGTTGGCTTGTTGAGAGCAGGGAAGGGAAAGCGGCAGGTGTAAAGTACCTGCCAGGTGCCTGGCCCTGTGCCTGTGTCACCTTCCTCCTCCAGGCCTCCCGAGTGGCATCCTCGTCCTCCCTGCCCCGTGACCGATGAGGAAGCCGAGGCCACAGTGTCATCGGTGACCTGGGCAAGCCCTCCCAGTTCTGCAGTCACCCCGCCACGGAGGCAGGACGTAACCCCCATCTCTGAGCCCCCCGCTGCTCTGCACGAACACAGGCACGGGAATGGGCCCGACAGCGACGTGAGTCGGTTGCTCTGGGGGACCTGGGACCTTTCAGGACAGGAAGAGTCGGTCCGTGTGGATTAACTGCCCCTCAGGAACGCAGAGCGGAAGTGAGACCGAGGACCCGGTTCTTAGCCTTTCACTTCCTGGGTCAGTCTTCTTTCTCGATGCCCCGGGCCGAACCCCTCAGTGGAGTGGGAAGGGACAGCCACGTCCCCGCCAGGCTCTCGGCAGGGGACCCGCCTCAGTGCTGCGGTGCCTCCTGTGGCCTGCGCGCCTGGCGCACCCCTCGGCGACAGCGTCCCCCCCGCCCCCTTCCTTTCAGGTCTCATGATACAGGTCGGAGGCTCGCGGAGAAAGTCTCGCGGCCTCCCGGTCACGATGCCGCGGCCGTGGGCCCTGAGAGATCGTGAGCTCCTGGGAGAGTCTCCCGTCGAATCGTGGGCTCAGCCCCGGGGCCCCCTCGGAGGTCAATGTGCGTCCCTCATGGCCCGGACTGCACGCGAAGGCGCGTCACCTTCTCTGGCCGAGTAGATGTCCGTGGGCTGGGAGCCCAGAGCCCCTGACGCTCTGACGCCGCCCCTCCTGGGGTCTCGCCTCGTGTGCCGTGGACCCCGCCCTTTCCCGTGGACCCCGCCCTTTCCCATGGACCCGAGCAGCCAGATCGCCGCCGTGCACTTGAGCAGGGTCCCCAGGGAAGGCCCCACCCCAGGCCGCTGCACCCCTGGCAGATGTCGGTGCGTCTCCTTCACACCCTGCTGCTCATCCTTGGTTTTCCACGGAGGCTGTTTTTCTCTTCCTGTCTTTGGCTGGAAGAGACAGACAGAGGCCAGTGACTGCCACAGAAGATGCTGGCCTTTGGCATCGGGAGCAGGTTGCAGAGCCGAGCCCAGAAGAAACCAGGGTCTCCGGCACATCTGGCCCCTGGGTCGGCCTCCCAGGGCCCTCTGGGGCGACACCTGGCCTGCCGCCCTGAAGTCCGATTGCACTGTCCTGTGTCCTGGGGACGTTACCACCGACCGTTTACCTAGCGTATGAGGGCTTTGTCAGAGAACACCTTTTCAAAAGTTGTTTCTTAGGAAGCAGCGTGTGTTGGTTGAAATGTCGTTGATGAGAAGCTGTTAGCTCTGTGACCCCCAGTGGGGGTCCAGCCCGCTCACCAGGTCGGCACCCTTCCCCGCCGGCACCGGTGCCGTGGGCCCAGGGAGACACAGGGTGGGCCGTCGCACTTCCGTCTCAGGAGAAAAGCCGCCCTTAACGGAACTGGGTGGATCTTGCTGCCCATGAAACATGGAGCTGGTTCCCGTTAGCAGCATCAGGATGGTCCAGTGCATCGGCCTTCCCTCCCCCGGTGGCCTGCGCGTCCCCAGCCCCCCAGGCCCCCTCTCAGCACTGGGCGTCAGCAGTGAGCTCCCCGTCCGCCCCGCCCGGCTGAGGGGTTGAAGCAGGTGTCGGTGTCCTCGTCCTCCGGAGGTGACCCCGCAGGGAGCACCTTCTCTCCGGAAGGCGAAGAGACACGGGGGCCTCCCCAGCCCATACGTGGTTGGCTTCATCTCTTCCTTCCTTTCTGCCTTGAAGGTTGTGTGATTTCTGAACTCGTTAAAGCTGGAAACATCCTCACAGCGGTTGCTGGACTGAGAGCTCCGCGTATTTGTGGGTTAAAAGCCATCGCACCTCGCAGAAAATTTCCTCCTTGGAGCGAGTGAGAATTTGTGCCAAGGGAGTGTTCGATTCCTCACGTCCCTTTTATTAACCGTTAGACTCGTGTCATACATCACACTTTTCCTGAAGTCAAGAGAATTGGTTAGAAATATTGAAAAAACAGTTCGCGTTGAAAGGTTTGGGGCCGTCCAGGAGAAATGCCTGACCAAAAGCCAGCGTTCTGCCTTTAGGTATATCAAACTCTGAGGAGGGAACGCGAAATGGTCGATCTCTGTGTCTGAAGGAATCTGAGTGGCTTCTATAACTGGCGAAATGTCAGCTGGATTTTTTTTTAAGCTTCATTATGATGGTGAATTGCCTTCCGGTGTATTTTTTGCTCCGCATTCAGAGGCCATCCTGGCCAAGCAGTATCAGCTGGCATTGTTCTCCGTTGGCCGTGTTCGGACACCTGACTTTGGCCATCACATAGCACCTGGCACGCGTTCATCTGCCCATCTTACTGTCCATCGCCTTTCCTTTGCAAGGGGAATTGGCCGACGGGTACCGACAGCTCCCTCCATCTGAAGAGCTTCCCGCAGTAATCAGAGTGTTTTCCACGCAGACTGTTGCACACCTGCAGCCTCGGTGGGCCGCCAGCCTCCAGGTGATGCACACAAGGCGGGTGGTGGGAGTTGCTGTTCCGACAAGGAGCGCAGGGCACGGGTAATGCCCAAGGTCGTGTGGCTGGTTAGTGAGGCGCTGAGGCCGAAGCCTAGATTCCCACCCGTCCAGTTCTCCAGGTCCCGATGCCTCACTGTTCGGCCCCCTCGTTCGAGATTCACGACCTTAGGGTTTTGATTATTGCCACCAGATTCTAAGAAAAGGACTCGAGGCCTGCAGTGGTCATTGCATGACGCTGGTTTTGGTAACAGCGTAAACCCCCAGCCCGGGCAGCGCTTCACCAGGCAGAAAGGGCCTGTTCGGGAGCCGTGGTAACAACGCACCCGGCAGGTGTCACGGGCAGTTGGACGGTTCACACGGGGACCCACCACACCTCTCCGTACCTGCGGAGCGGGCGTTATAAAAAGCCAAAGGTGCTTGAGTTTGACAAACTCGCGCTCAGGTGAGAGGTGTGGAACGAAGCAGAGTGTCCGGGAGCCTGGACTGTGGCCTCAGACAGGTGAGGCTGGAGCCCTGGCCCGCCCCGCCTGGTGGGATGACTCGGCGAGTTAGGTCGCCTCTGAGAGCCTCAGCGCCCTCCTCTGTGAAGTGAGGCTCGTGCTAGCAGCTCCCTCATGGGTGGTTATAGGGACGAAACGATGTGATGCGTATAAAGCACATAGGCACTGCCTGGCAAATAGGATGCACTCAGTTACCACGCACCGTAGTGTAATTGACCGAGAGAGGGTCTCCGGGATGTGGCAAACTGTCAGGTGATCACGGGCGCAGGAAGACAGCCCCGGAGGTAGACCCCGCACCTCGGTAGATACTGCCGTCCTTCTGTCACCCGCACAGCATCTGTTCTCTGGTGTCCGAGACTCCCGGGGCCAAGGCCGAGGTCTTCGTGTGCCCGAGGCAGAGCGAAAAGTGGAAAATGTCAAAGACCCCGGCGGAGACTTCCCGTCAGCTGGAAGCTCAGGGGCTGACGCACTGTTCAGTGTCCACATTTTTCAAATTCCTGGATTCGCCTGAGAACGTACTTCGTTCTGCAGCAGAGAAGGGAGCGTCCAGACTGACCGTCACGGGCGGCAGGGTCGTGTCGTCCGGGGCAGTCAAGCGGAACAGCTGGTTCTCTGGATTCTCTCCGGGCCCAGCGTGTGGGCTTCTGGAAGGTGGACCAACCGCGGGTGGACAGCTTTCCGCTGTGGGGGGGTCACAGTCTCGAAGCTGTCTCGGCGGCACGGTGGCCTGCCCCGCCCGGACCACCCACACTCCCGCCAGGCTGCGTCCTGGGTCACGTCCCCCTCTGCTTCCCGTCACGGCCCCTCCTTAGCCAAGACTCCCTCGGAGGGCTCCCCCGGTCACAGTGGCCTCTGGCCCCGCAGGTGTGGGCTGGCCGGCTCCGCGTCCAGGCACAAAGCCTGTCTTCCTCCCACGTCTCTGAACTCTGGGAGGATGGCCTTTCCATAAGGCGCATGTCTGCTTGTGTCCCCTGCTGCGTGGTCAGTGCGCGGGGGAGGCCTGGTCTCCCATTCTCCTCCCTGTGACTGTGACCTCTCACCCCGAAGAAAGGGGCGCCCACCCCCCTCCTGCCCACTGCATGCCCATTGTCTGTAGAGTCGCCACCACTGTCTGCGAGGTCCTGACTTTGGGGCGCCTTTTGTTTAGAAGCGAGCAGGCTTCTCACAAACCATGCTCTGAGTCTTTGCAAGGATTTGGGTGGCCATAGTGGGTGGCTGCCAGGCTCATTAACCAATCTCTGATCATTTTCAAGACGGATCTGAAAGGATAGTTTCGTTATTATTTCGATCTGAGGCCGCTCGGTTCCTTAGTCCCTGTCCAGCTCAAGCAGCCACGGGAGAACAAACCGTGTCCACTTGACAGTCATCCGAGGACGAGAAAGTACACGGAGGCTGTCGATTCCACCAGGACCCAGCGTGGTCCCAGGGACTGGGTTTGGGCCGTCGGGGGACGAGGACTCCGTGTGGCCTTGGCGGGCCCCTGTATCTCTCCTATGCGTGGTATCTTTGGCAGAGCTGGTGTCTGGGGAGAAAGGAGGGTGTTTGCAAACTGAATGGCTGCTCCCAGCCTCGGCCTTCTGTGACCCATCTTCCCGCCCTTCTCGTTCTGTGTTTGAGCTTGGCCGTGCCTCATGTCCCTGCCCCCGCCGCCCCCGCCAGAGCTGCCCAGGAGATGGCCTCTGCCAGCGGCGACGTCCTCACCTGCTCCGACCCTCGACTTCCTTCCTGAAAGCCACGCCAAGTGCAGACCTGTCGCCCGTGAGCTTGGGTCTGCCCCAAAAGCACCTGCCCCTGGGCGGGTCTTCCGTGTGTTCCCCGAGAAGCCAGAATTGTAGGAAGAGCCCTGGGCAGGGGGTCGGATGCTGGTCGTGGCTCCGCCACGAGTCGCCCGGCCTCGCCTGACCCCAGCCCGCGCCTCCACGTGTGCTGGATTCGTGAGCGGCGGTCCGTCTCGGCAATCTCCTGAGACGTCTTTTCATGGTGATATAATTTACCAACAGCAACGTGCCTCGACTTTCAGTGTCACGGCCCCGTCCCATCTGACGGGTGATGATACCTATTGTATTCGTTTTTTTCAGCTGCTTTAACAAGTGACCACAAACTTCGTGGCCTAACACAATCACATGTTTTACCTTACGAGTTTGACATGAGTCTTCACTGGGCTGAAAACGAAGGTGTGGGCGGGGCTGCCTTCCTGCGGAGGTCCCCGGAGAACTGCGTCCTGGCCTCCTCCGACCCCGCAGCCCTTGGCTCTGGGTCCCTCCTCCGCCTTCGACTCCGGCAGTGGTGGGTGGAGTCCCTCTCACTGTCACCCCCCCTCCTCTGCCTCCCTCTCCCACTCCTAAGGACCCTCGAGGTCACATCGGCCCCTCCGGTTAATCCAGGACCCTCTCCCTCCGGTTAATCCAGGACCCTCTCCCCGCTGAAGGGCAGCGGGTGAGCGATGTCAACCCCACGGCAACTTTAATTCCCCTTTGCCAGGTGAGGTGACACACTCCCAGGTCCCGGGGATCAGCATGGGGAGAGGGGGCGTCATTCTGTATGCCACACCTGTGTCACCACCACCCTAATCAAGGCGTTTCCTTCCCTCCAGAAAGTTCTCTGGTTCCCCCTTTCAGTCACTTCCCACTCCCCCTCAGCCAGGCGATTGCTCTTCTGATTTCTGACTTCATCAACTAATGTCACCTGCTCTGGACCAGATGTATTTTGAAGGGTCACCTCATACCTGCCAGGTGGGGTGGAGTGAAAAACTTGGCGTGAAAAGTGAAACAGTCTCTCTGTGACTATGGCTCTTGGTTTAGGGGAGGGGGCGGTAGGTTCAGGGAGGCCAGTCGGCTGCCTGCGGGCTGGGGGTGGCGTCCCCCCCACGCCCCTGTCCATCCCTGTCCCTCTCCCCCTCCCACACCCTCCCAGCTCATGGTGACAGAAAGAGGTCCAGTGGACAGGTCTGCGAACTGTGTGCACAGCCTGGTCTCACCCAGTCCGGGCCTCACCAGGCAGCAGAGGGGGCAGTGACTGTCCCCAGGAGCCCCTGTGGGCCCCTGAGCCCCGTTTCTCCCCGCGGCACATCCTGCCTCTGCGGGAGGCCCCCGAGTTCCCCACACTGCCATCACTTTTCACATCCCCTCCCGTACGGGGCACCCCCACTTCCTTCTGGGAACCAGGCTCCTTCCTTCCCCAGCGTCACCGGGAAGGTCCCCAGTTGGGGCCCGAGCGCTCTGTGGCACCGCCACCTGGCCCCTCTGCCCGGCGTGCCGGCCACGTCCGTCATGGGGTGGGCACCTCGGGGTGAGGCTCGACACTCGATGCGCACTGTCGGTTAGGTCCCCGATCCCTCAGAAGGGAGTGACAGTGACCGCCATTCCCGCAGGGCTACGTGAGGGGACGCCCTGGGGGTGTGTCCCGGGCCACTGTGTCAGCCAGTGTGTCACTGTGATTGTGCCCCTGGAGCGTCACAGCCATCACGAAGTACTGGGGTCCTGCCCGTCTTGCAGAGGAGGAAGTTTGGGTTTCAGAGACGTTGTCTCTGAAGGGGACACTCGCTGGTGTTTGGTGGAGCCGAAACCAGGTCTTTGTGACCCTGGAGACAGAGTCCTCGCCACTTTGCGATCCGCCCCCAGGTGCTCATGGGGTCACCTTTGCTGTGGAGTTTTCGTGTGATGCTGACGTGACGGACACACCCAGTGCGAGCTCCTCGTGGGCTCAGAGAGGCCGAGGAACTTGCCCGGGGCCCGGGATGAGAGCCCAGTGGACAGACCGGGAAGCCGGCCCCACCGTCCCCTCCATCAAGGAACGTCTGCTTGCAACGGGAAGAGGCGTCACGGAGTGAGACTCTCTGTCATCTCAGCTTGACGGCCAGAAACCCGGGCGCCGAGCCCACGACTGCCCCGCCATCGCTCCTCCCAGCCGCCCACCACATCTCCTTCTGGCCTCTGTGCTCACGCATGTCGCTGTCCCCTACTGTCCACTTTTTTATTTTATTGACCACATTCTGTTTATAAACCTGCTTCAGGTCCTTGAGGGACTGGGGACTGGTGTAAATAATGCAAATTAACATGCGGGCTGTTGCGGAAACCGGCGCAGAAGCACGTGGTCCTCGGCGCCCGGCCTCGCTCGGGTTGCCTTGGGGGTCTCCGTACCCCGCCTGTGCCGTCCGCTGGGCTCGGCCGCCACACGTCACGGTGCGGAGCAGGCTGCCGCCGTGCGCTGGCGGAGGTGGCGGGTGGCAGACCTCGGTTATTTACTTACCCTCTGAAGGGCATTGGTTTTCCTGAGTGACCGGATGGACGCTTTCTAAGCGGCCCCCGTGCAAGGAGCAGACGCAGGCACAGCAACGGCGTTCACTGCCCCCCGCGACCGCTTCTGGCACAGTTTGCTCTCGACCCCGGGAGGTGAAGCCTCGTCCTGGGGGAGAATTTAGTCGCCACAGTTAGGTGGCTGTCGGTTGAGTTCTTTGACCCCACACATCTCCTTTTGTCTGTCCGTGGACGCGTCGGCTCTCAGAAGCGAATGATTAAAAGTTAGTTCCTCATATTTGAGCAGTTTTTCAGAATTCACCTACCCTGGGGTTATTTCTGTCGCGTCCACTGAATATAAAAGCAGGCACGGATGGGGGTGTCAGTTAAGAGCAGCCTACCGTGCTGGGTCGTGGTCATTCCTTCATCAAGATATCATGCAGCCCCCTCTATGTGCTGGGCCGCCTCTGGGCGCTCAGGAGGCCGTGAGCCGGGCAGGCGGGCATCTGCCGTGAGCCGTCCGGATAGGCACCTGCCCGCACAGAGCTTACCCTGCGTGCGAGAGGCAGGAGGCGGGCGTGTCGTTTCAGAGGCCAGTGGCTGAAGAGAATAAAACGGCCCGTGAGAAAAGGCAGCTGGCTTGGCTACCACGTCAGGATGCTCAGGGAGCTGACGTTAGTGCCGAGACCGAAGGACGAGGGGGCCCTAGCCACGGGGAGCACCGGGGAAGCAAGGAAGAACGGGACGGTGGCGCCAAGTGTCCGCCACCGCCCCGTTTACCAGCGGTCTCCTGGGACAGGTTCTTAGGGATAAAAGGCTATTTTAGTAAGCAGTCAGCGGGGTAGTTATTGAATTACTGTGTCTGTTCCCCACCAGCTTTCAGTTTCATGGGGACGGGGTTCAGGTTTCATTTTGCTCGCTGTTGTATCTCCAGTGATGGCGTAGTGCCCGACTCATGACAGGTGCACAGCAAATGGTGGATGGTCGGATAGGTGGCTGGGTCGGTGGGCGGATGGATGGATGGATGGATGGATGGATGGATGGATGGATGGATAAATAAAATACTGAGAAGCCTGGAAGGCAATGGAGGACATTACAGTCTCGAGCTTGTTTCAAAGAGTCGCAGGCTTGGAGGACCCACTGACACAGAATGATAAGGACGAACAGTAGACAGGTGACTCTTGGGAGCGGTCGGAGGGGAAAGGACAGAGCCGAGAAGCCCAGGTAGGAAGGGCGGATCCGGTGTCGTGTGTTGTAAATGACCAGAGCTAAAGAAGAACAGCAGGGCGGGAAGAGAGGGTCAGTCAAGAAGTGCTCTGTGGTCAAATGGGACGGACACCTGTCCAAGTAGCACATGGGCTAGAGGCAGGAGGGTCAGAGTGACTGGAGATGGCAGAGAAACGTGTTGGCCCCCGGGGCGGGGGGCTCCTGGATCGGGCATTCGGTATGTGTGGGGGTGAGAGACGGGGGAGTGAGGGGGCTTCCAGACGCTGCTAAGGTTTTAGATTTTCTGCGATCGTGAGCCGAGGGCCACCTCATGTAGAGATGAGCCGTCTTTCCACGTGGGGGAGGATAGGAAACTGGCAGAAAGATCCAACTGGGAGAAGCAAGGATATTGTTTGGAGCTTTGTTTTATTCCTCTGGAGATGACCGTATTGTATTTTTATGTAAATAATTCGCAACAGTGTGGTGTTTGCGAAGGGGCGAAAAGCGAACACTCATAAATGAAGTTGAGACACCATATTGTGTTTCCACATCAACAGTTATACTGTTGCTTGCAGCGGGTCCAAAAACAAGTGTGTATCCAAGAGGCAAAGTACCTGTTAATTCTGAGCTTCTTTATCTAAACACCCTTACCTGCCCTTCAAAGCCTGATTTGAAAAATCACATTTTCCACGAAGATTTTGGGATCACTCCAGCCTAGCGGCCTCCTTACCAGCTCTGAGCTTCTACGATATAATCGTGTAGCTTCTGGGGCACTTTTTACTTACCCAGTTTGGTCTTACTTACGGACGTGTCATCCTAACCTGGTACGGAGCCCCGTAGGGGCGTGGTCGCACGTCTTACGCATCCGTATGTCTTCACAGGGCTGTTCCAAAGGAGGGACTCATAGACGTCCTTAAACAAATGACTAGCCCTGCTGTGATCACCAAAAATGCATTTCATTTTCTTCGTCGGTGGGGTTAGCTTTGTCGTTTGGGTAGAGGGGCTGTTCTCATCTGCCCGGCACCCCTTAGCGTGCTTCCTAAGCCTGCATGACTGCTCCAGCCAAAATATCCCGTGGCGTTTGCTTTCAAGGCTTTGTAAAAAAAAAAAACAACTTCAGGCTGTAGAATCCAGAGACAGACAGTGCATGGAATAGTGTTTGTCTTCGGTCCAAACTCGGGCCATCGTGGAGCCTGGCGGCTGGCCGTGGCCTCCGCGAGGTTTCGGTGTCCGGAGCGGGATTCCGTCGCAGGTCCGCCTCGGTGCTGACAATGTGCGGCTTCTCTCCGGCAGCACTCGTTTTTCTGCCGACTGACGGAAGACAAGAAGTCGGAGAAGTTCTTCAAGGTCTTCTACGACCGGATGAAGGCGGCCCAGCAGGAAATCAAGGCGACGGTGACGGTGAACACCAGCGACCTGGGGAACAAGAAGAAGGACGACGAGGCCGACAGGGACGCCCCGTCGCGGAGGAAAGGTCAGGGCCGCGTGCCGCTTTCCCCCGGCGTCCCCGCTCCTTCCTACTCAAAACCGAGTTCCTTTTGGAAGGAAAAAGCCAATCTGGTTACGATGCAATTATTTCTTCCTACAGAACCTGAGTTGAATTCCCGAGGCTTTGGAGGTTCTGCTTGTTTAGTAAATTAATATACATTCCTCTTGGTCAAACTCCAGGTTTTATTGGCAGGAAATCCACGAACAAGGCTTTTCTGTAATTTTCCATTTACCGTTCGAGAACGTTGAGGACGATTCACACTTTGGAACTGGATGTCCGCTTTTCGTCAGCTCATTATCCCTCATTCTCTAACGTGTGTGATAGTTCGTGAAGTTTTTCATCCATCATCTCAGGGGAAGGGAAGTGATATTTGGGAGGGGTGGGCGGACCCACCAGGGCCAAGTCAGATGGCCGTGAGCAGTTAGTGAACCACGCCGAGCCTCGTTCTAAGGGGAGAACGAGGTGGCTTCTCAGCCACGGCACATCTGACATCTGGAGAGTGGTTGCTGTCGGGGCCGAACGGTGCATTGTGAGACGTTCAGCAGCACGTGTGGCCTCTACACAGAGACGCCAGTTGTCCACCCCCAGATATTGTCTCCAGAAACGTCTGCAGATGTGAGGGGTTGTCCCTGGGTGGGGACGAGGGCAGACTCACGCCCGGCTGATAACCGCTGGTCTAGAAGGGGGTAAAAAAGGAATGGCGGCCATTTTCCAAGCACTTGCTGGCCACCAGGCCCTGTTCAGAGCCCTTTGCGTGCATTGCTCCGTTTGGAATGCGAGTGAACCCTGCAGAATAGATAAGATGGTGACCCCTGATTTACAGGTGGGGAGACCGAGGCAAAGAGATACTTGTTAACTTGTCCTTGCTAAAGACCTGAGCTCGAAGGCGGGTCAGCCAGGATGCGGACCCAGGCAGCCCGGCTGCAACGCCCGGTTACCTGACAGGGCTCTCTGGGGACTTGGATGAGGTAGCACACGGCAAAGGCTTCATCACAGTGCCTCGGCACGTGGCGGAGGGCACAGGCAGTTGTCCCTCCAACAACGGCGATTACCATTGTGATTAGCATTACGTGGATCCCCTCAGGAACCTGTCTGGGTGGGATTCACCTGTGTGTTCCCGCTTCACGGATGAGGAAGCTGAGGCCCCGAGCCTAGACATGTGGGGTGACAGAGCCTGCCCTGAGGTTTTTCCTCTAAAACACAGCGAGCTTGGGTGAAGCAGCACAGCCACGAGCGAGCTGGCAGGCCCCGCCTCGGTCTTGGCCCTGCCCGAGGACTGAGAGAAGGCGCTGGCTTCTTGGAGTGCTTTGCCAACCGTGGGGATCCCTAGGGAATATAAGCACTTATGTTTCTGGACGTCGCCTTTGGCCGGTGACTGACCAGCACTCGTGAGGTTCCCGTGGGCTTGACAATCTCCTGTTTGCCTTCTAGCCAAAGAGCCCTCGACGCAGATAACTGAAGAGGTCCGTGACCAGCTCCTGGAGGCCTCCGCTGCCACCAGGAAGGCCTTCACCACCTTCAGGAGGGAGGCCGACCCCGACGACCACTACCAGCCCGGGGAGGGCACCCAGGCCGCGGCGGACAAGACCAAGGACGACCTGGAGATGAGCGCGGTCGTCACCATCATGCAGCCCATCCTCCGCTTCCTGCAGCTCCTGTGCGAGAACCACAACCGGGACCTGCAGGTGAGGGCGGGGCGGCCGGGGTCACCGGGGTCACCGCTGCCACGCGCGCCCCGACCCTTTGCTCCTTCACGCCAGCCAGTCTCCTTGAGTCGAGGACCCAGGATGGTTCTCGGCTTCTGGGTGATGACGTGGTTCTCTGCCTGTCCTCCCCACCGTCTGCACAGGGACAGGGACCACCTCCCTTGCTCACCAGGGTGGGCACCTGCTCCGTGTATGTTTAAGTGTGTACGTGTGCCCGTGCGCATGCAGCCGGTAGCCTGCCGGTGTTCGGCATATAGGTGCACAGGTAACACTTGGGTGGATGATGGATGGATGGACAGATGGATGATATACTACACTTACAGGTAACACTTGGGTGGATGATGGATGGATGGACAGACGGATGGACAGATGGATGATATACTAGACTTACAAAATCTGCTACTTAGAAAGTTCTAATTAAGTTTTTGTTGGGTGAAGGAATGACATGGCCTTCTAGAATTTTACACGAATAGATGCTCAGAAATATTTGTCGAACCGATTATTCCAGAAATCCTGTGTTCACTTCTTTGTCGTTAGAATAACAGTGGCCAGGGGGCACTCGGAATGCCCTGGGTGGTCAGCGTCGCCTATATTGTTACACTCGTACCTGTAGCTGAGGAACTGAGGTTCAGGGGACACAGGTAGGGGGCACAGGACTGGGACTTGAACCCAGGTGGTCTGATGGCAGAGCACATGCCATCAACCATTTTGTCCCTTGCAGAGTGTCCCCACCCCCACCCAGCAAAGGCTATTTAGGAAGGGCCATGGTGGGTTCCACAGCCGTCTCGTTCCGCTGATGGGGCTCAGAGCCATGGAGGAGAAGCATGCGAGAGCCCCAGGCCTGCCCAGGGCCTGGCTGTGCCGCTGACTCTGGGGAAAAGCAGCACCATCTACTGAAAAGGGACGAAGGTGAACAGGAGCAGGTGTCCGGACAACTCCTC